GTTTTGTTTTCCTGGTCTGTAATCGCTGTCTGATTATCTTAATAGCTTCAGCTAAAGAAGAGGTCGAAGCTCATCGAGAGAAAATCGAAACATTACACAGACAGCTGACAAGTTCTTCGTTAGGAAAGAGTAAAACTATGGTAAGAATACAGAACACTCCCAGTCCATCTTACAGCAATGACTAAATGTCTATTTTTTGTAGATGGAATTTAAAACCAAGAATAATAACACCGAGAAAAGCGAGCAAGTTTGTGTACAGATCGAATTAATCAAGCCAAAAGATCAATTTGTAAGTATGATTTATACAGCTATTTCAAAAAAAAAACTTGGCGAACGGCAATTGTCGAGGAGAGATTGCACGACCGAAAGGGACTATGGTTACACTGTTTTGATAAAGAAAATTTCACTTATTGGATTCACATTACATTGAAATGGAGACTAAATGGAGCCAATGTTTACCACAGACCATCTTACAGTATAAATCAGTTGTTATTTCATTTCACCAAGCAAAACCCACGATGGCTACTTTCGGTCGTGCAATCGCCGTTCGACCATTGACATTCTCCATTTTATCCGACAACCTTTTTTGGAATAGCTGTATACTCTCATTTGATATAATTACTTATTCCAGATAGCGTTAATCTTTGATATGAACCCCTTACCTAGAGGTGTAAAACGGCTGCACAAAAGGCTGACTTTCATTYTGGATTGTTTTAGGGGTTGGCATCGATATTATACGATAATGATGCGGTCAACTGCCATCTTGTCAGCAATGGTGCTGAATGCATACTTATAAAGAAAAGTTGGTTCTTACAAAATGCAGACGAGTCTTTACTCAGAGAATTACGAGCACAGGTAATGATGTATACTACTCGACGACGAAATTATCACAATGATTCMGTAATTCTAATGTAATTTTGAAGGCGAAACGTAATATGTTTGTTCACGGTCCTGCAGCATCTGTTTCGTCAGTGGTTGTTTTTTGTGGCTTTTGTAGTTCAAAACTTCGAAGACACCAAATGAATATTAACCKTGTTTTCTTTCGTTTTAAAAGATACCGCCCTACCCGACCCAAGAGAGATTACAGCAACGYTTCCAGGATCAGGCGAACTGGGAATCATTTAAAACACAAACAATAAACGATCTTCTGGACACCCTTCAACTATGAGCGTCTACCAGTCAATGAATTATTTATAGCAGACYTGATGTCTTGTACAACATTTTAAATATTAAAAATTCTATTTTAGTCGTTTCCATGGAAAATYAATTCCTGCAAATGATCATTCGTCCAGTAACATGCTTCTGCTGTTGTAAAGTGTTTGTTTTAATATCGCTGTTATTGTACAATCARTTGTTATTTGTTGTAGTTGTTATTGTCCAGGTAACATCGCCGAGCCTTTGTGATTTTGTAGTTTTTTTGTGTGTGATTTTGTTGCTTTTCTTTCTTTCAGTCTCTTTTTTTCAATTTGACGATAAATGTTTGTCTAACTCATCWGTCAAGTTACCATCMAACTCAATCCATCTTTTTGGCTCACAACGTYTGTCCATMATGTAGTGGGTAATGACTTTAAAATGGCCGATTGGGTTCCCTGTYGAAACCTGACATCTTCTCCAAATTACATCCTCTGCTATTACTACAGACCGCTTTGAACCTTCCTCCAGCTCAAATCGTACAAGACGTTTAACGCTGTTTCCTTGTAGGTCAAACCTCTTTCCTTTTAAGATTGTCTCCTCAATTCGTTTACGGCCGTTCGACAATGTTTCATCACTGTCCTGATTTCCCGCCATTAGTTTGGCTTGTTGAAGTATTGCTTTTGACAACGAACCTTAAATCGCATTTGGTACACACACAAATTATGAAGGTGAATCATAATCTTGAAGAAAATTCCAATTCCTTTATCTCATATTTGCATCATGCCGCATGAAAACAATTTGAAAACTCGACGATGGTTTCACTGTCAAATGTGACTGATTTTCCGRCTTTGTTTTACAAGTATTCCAACTTATTAGCACTAAATATTTAGAAAAGAAAAACAACTTTAAGTCAGTTCTTTGACTATAAGTATAAATAACTAGCGCAAACTGACAGATTGATTGAAATATCGTACTAAAAAAGCAGGTGTTCTTGTGACTGATTAGATATTCATATCGTTAGTGTTGCTGCTATGGTTACTGGGCAATAATAATCATTGGAGGATTTTCCACATAAATTTTAGTTCGGAAGTGATTGCTCCTCTCTCGCGCACAGAATATCAACAGACCGAACCTAAGTAACTACCAAAGCCGCCTCGTGATGTCATGCTCTGCTYAGAATTCTGTGTGATTTGACTCGGGTACGTATAGAAACTAGAGATATCTAGATAACCATTTCGAATCTACTCGGTGCAACTTTCATACCGCAATGAATTGTTATACAAAAACTATAACGTGTTATATGGGATCATTTTGACAGCTTCTTGTGTAATCAAAAGCTACTTGTTTTTCAGTAGGGATTCTTCAGTTGATCCAATTTTTTTTCTTTCTKATCTTGTCGTCAGAAGTTCGATGAAAATGGATGGGAAAAACTCAGTCGATGTCGCAGATACATGTATAGCATAAGATGACGTGCTTCAAACGGTCCTGACTAAATTAGATGTAAGCTCGTGTACATGAGCACGGAAATTATGTCTTTAACCTRAGTACTCCATTGATAATTGAAAAAGAGAACATTTCTGCATTTTTTCTCTTAATTTTCATATTTTTTCCAATTACCTAGTTGATTGAAATCGACATTTTATCTCTGAAATCCTGAGAAGTTTGCTTTTTCGTCACTGAATTCAGTGTTCGCTATTGTAATTAAAGTTGTTATAGGAACGATCAAAGAATAATACCAGTAATTGTTAATATATTTAGTGTGAAATTGTCGGCTTGGATTTCCAGCTGAGAGTATTTRATTTTTTCCTTGGGAACTGTTTTAGTCTTTCAAAAGGTTTTCTTGTTGATTGGACGAAAAGCTCAATTAGTAAAAACTGGTCAMCGCGATTGTTAAGTGTTGTGTTAGAGGAATCTTTTCGTAATCTATAGTTTCCGGTAAGTAATGGTAGAATTTGCAGTATTTAAATCAGGTTTTGTTGGATTAATGTAAAAGTCGTAAAACAACATGGGAATGACACTACACTGAAAACAAACTGACAACTTGTAGAGCACTGTATACTCATTGGAATTCTGAATTAGGCTCAGTGAACCATTCGTTTCGTTAAGCACTTTTACTGGCGCAATCTGATTCCTACTTGTCAAACCATGTCAAACTACATTACAGAAGCTTTAAATAGAGCTGAGTGGGTTCTTTCCCTCTTTGAGTTAATTAAACTAACGAGTCTGCGGTAAGAAATGGACTTTCTYAATTTACAATCAGACAATTTATCATCGTACGATAACGTGAAAGAGATGCTAAACATTTGCCTCGCAATTGGAAAAGAAATATGTAAGAGTTAGTTACTGATTCCATGTACTGTAGATATCCTTCGGCACAGTAAGTCACGTGTGATTCGAAGGATCTATTCGACATGGATAAACTAATAATTTTGATGGCAAGAATCCCTTGTTTGTTGGCTTGTGAGGTGTTTGTTGTCGATGGGGTGATTTTGTGCCTAAGTACACAAATTGAGTTTGTTTTTACGTTGAAGAGTTTGTAGATAGGAGCTGTCGTCATGGTAACATCTCGATCTAATATTACTTACTCGCTCGCCAAGTCTCTTCGAGGTCTGACCTACGGAAAATACTGCGTTCGTTACGAACTGAGTCTAACTCGAAGAATTAGCAATTATTATAACACTTTTAACACGTGACGATTGGTAAGGTGAGTTCACCATCACGAATAAATGTTGTAGTGAGAGATTCTCTAGTTACGGGCATTACATTGATAGACGGAAGTTTGCAGTGTCACTGGGGTCGCTTAGTAATACCAAACCGAAAACTAAACCAAAACCACAGTTTAAGAATAACCCAGAGAAGMTAAAGTTTGTAGCTTAATATACGGACTTGCAWGTAATGAATGTGTTACGAAARGAACCCTGTGGTAATCGCACGGATTTTTTATTTCAGTTTTTTCTTTGTTGATTGAAGAATTGAAATTCACACATTTAGTTTACAGTCGTTCTGCAGTCAAATCCAAGTGAATTCGCCGCGATTCTGTGCTGTTATTWCCCGTAACTGATAAAAATATATGAGAAACGTGTATATGTGCAATGACAACGGTAGAAACATCTAAGAACACTTACTCAGAAGAATAGGAATGACAACACTTATATACTGGCGTAGATGTAGTGCTTGTCTTTGTGCCACAGGATGCATGCGCATGATATAAATATGCTACTTACATTCAATGTGAACACCGACATTAACCAACTAAAACTAAACAAGTTCGAATTTGAAAAGAAAAAAAGTGGCAACTACTAGTGTATTCTTAAGAAAAGTGCAAATTGAATTAGTTGTAACAAAAAACAACAACAACAAAAAACAAACAAAATTAATTTAGATTACAGTTTTCCATATCGGCATAAAGAAGACTGATTAGCAAAATCATCCTAAGCGATCTTTCAGATTCTTGGGTCTCTGAATATAAATTTTCCAAAGTTGACATTAACAAGTTTACTTGGCTTACAGAAATGTCAGAAATACTCGTCTTGACTGACAAGGTGACTTAAATCTTTTATTAAAATGACTAATGAAATAGTTTGAAGACAACATATAGGTTTTTAACCATTCATGATTTCGATTAAAGTACAGCTAGTGCCTTAAATTTTAGACGTTTCCATTTTGCAATTGGTTGAGGCATTGCTTGGAAAATACAACGCAAACTCGATCTCGATCAATTTCTTCAAAACAATGTTACTATGTGTTTAAAAAGTGAACAAAATGAATTTCCCTTCAACTTAGAACTATTCCTAGTGATTGTACCCCTCTCACCTGCGGGATGATGTTCTTAATWTGGGCTACAAAGCTTAATGTACCTTCCCTAAAGCTATGAAAGCAAATACGTTAGGTTTCTTTCAGTTAACCCCAAGATTGAGGGTACTTTGACGTCTATACCCAAGTTGAATAATTTCTTTTTTTCCACAGCTTGTTTTTGAAAACATGAAACCAAGCTCAAACAGTTCCACATTCTTCGGGTGAACCTATTATGCGATCTAAGCCGTGGGCTACTAGTTTCACCGCCACTACACCAAACCAGAGCAAAGTTGAAACGATGGAGAATGGAGTAAAGCTTCCCCCACTTAACCCTCTCTCGCAAATTGATTGTCTAGCACCAGAWCGCGCGGACGAAAYAGCTATTGCAAGAGAACAAGAGGTTAATCTAGCTAAGATTCGCCACAGGCAAAAGAGAATCATCCAACCAGAAAATAAAGAGAGAGAATTCGAGTTTGGTAGACGACGAAAACGAAGAAACCCTGAGTTTCCTGAGGGYTCATACCCACCACTATCCCAGGTTCCAATGGGAAACAATCCAATACTCGATATACCAACAAAGAAAACACATCATYCYTATAAAAGAAACGTCAATACAACACGATTGATTCCCATTTCACAGATTTCTTGTCTTCTTYACGCATCCAATGAGAGCCGTAATAAAACCACACCCCCAAAAAGTTCATCGAAGTTTCACATTTACGATAACGATTCTACGTATGTGAAGCTAGCCAAGTCTGGWGGTCAACCAAATCTATTGCATTACATTGAGGCAAAACCACCTTTGAGACGGTCAGTGGACACACACTATTCACCAAGTCCTAATGGACTTTTACCTGCACTCAAYTCTAAATCGGTACAGGATCCGACATGGAAACCTTCTGATTGGTCCCCGTTGCCGTCAATTAAAAAGAAAGAAGAAGATGCCAACCTTAAAGAAAAGTAGCACAACTTTGAATAAAGGCATTCATCTTTTTAAATTCATCTTAAGGTGCACTACATATAGCAATTTCAAAAACCATTGAATACTGAATTCTGCAAAGTGCACTCCAAGACTGCAATGCATCCTGGCCATTAAATTCCGCGTTAGTTACGCAAATATGGCAAAATGATTCTAAATTCGCCTTGCTTTCCATTCATGAAGTTTTTGACTATACGTGAGATGGTACGTATCGTCACTCTGAAACCATGAAAACTCCTTCTGAATGGCGACAGAAAACCCAGCAATGCACTATCTTCAGTATTCAATGTTTTMCRYAAATAGCTGTAAGCTGCATATCATATGTTCTGTGATGATACTTTGATCCAGGACCAAGCTACAAAGATGGACAGAGTTCTGGTGCAACAGATTACACACATATCTATAAACAGTGGATTCCTCCACCATAACTTTACATAAAGAATTTACTTTATGAATATCTGTATATAAAACATAATACCATGACTTCATTAAAATGACTTGAAACTGTAAATATCAAKTGATGCATTCTTCAATTTTGAGATCAATAAATAAATCCCCAAAACACTTGAATATTTAACATTGTTTCTTATTTTCTTGCTGTTATTATGATAACCGAGGAAGTATTTTTATTCAGTTATATTATTTGTTTATACAAATTATCACCCATTGAACACTATTTCATTTGAACAATGTGCGAATAGAGCTTGTTTTGCGGTATMGCGRGATGAGGGACGACCGTGGCAAGTAATTGGTAATCCATATTATAGTGATTACTCCATAGGTTTTACTAGTGTGAAGAGCTAGATTTCTGGCCGGCTAAGTGTGTGTAGTAAACGGATCCATGCASTCAAYGGGAAAATGATGTGATTACAAATAAGGACGTGCCCRAGTGTGAAGCACATTCACSAAAATGTAAACAAATCGTTTAAGTTACAGTGGCTSCTGTTGACCACAGTTGTTTTAATCTTTGATGTACGTAAGTGACAAATACTTTCACCAAATAAAAAAAAACACTGAAAATTTGCATGTTTAGTGTAAAAAGTACAGAATTTACACCTGTTCTTTCTGCGGAACCGACGAAGTTGAATATGTAATTAATGCAATTGTCTCCTACAAAATACAGCAAACATCTAAATGGCTCGTTTTCAGAATATCTGACACCTAAGGCTGTTGCTAAGCGCTACCAGTCTTACTGTTTGCTTTCGGTGGATTACAAGAATAAATCGAAGAGCAAAGGTAATCTATTTAGCTTCTGCATGGACTTTGSCTTGTCCTAGTAAGGTTTTTAGGTCTCTGTTATTAATCTTTAGTCATTCATCTTTCTGTCAAGACTATCTCTGCTCAAAATGAAGCCTCGTTTCAAGCCTTTTGACAGGCCTGAGGGTGAAGACGTWTGGTTCTGTCATCCTACATTCAGTCGTCCAGACCGTCCCTCGAGTATGACTAACAAAGCACTGTCACAGGTTCCTGATTTAAACAATGGTAAGYACAGCTCTCATCTTCACAAAGAAGAATCTAAAAAGTACGCTAAAGGAGCGATCCTTCCTAGTGATACCAAGTATATTCGTCTTGCCAAAGCCGGGGGAAGAAAGCATCTATTAACGTTTACTGAAAACCACGAAAGAAATAAAAGTCCACAACCATACCCTGTACCAAATTGGTATGGTCATCGCGATCAAGATGTGAAGGTGTGTAATGGACCTGCACAAAGATATCCAAAACAACCCGATTGGATGACCCATCRAGAAAACACTACTGGCGATACGGAKGAAAKAGCGGACTATYRTCCAAATCAAGGCATCATTGCTTGGGATAAAATGTCAGCATGGAAAAGAGAGGAATTCGAAAGACAMATGGAGCTTAAAACAAAGAATGCTTACGAGAAAAGGAAGAAAAAGCAAGAAAAAGCTGAGAAACAACACAAGATAGTAAAACCCAAGTCCAAAGTAAACATGGAWGACACCTTGACGAAGAGTGCTAAAGTAAAGCTCCCTAAGATCACAAYGAGTCAGTTTCAAGGTTTTAGAAAACTTTCAGGAACCGAACTTGCAACCCAGTGGTACAAAAAATGGTACCTCATCGGGAAAGCATAACAAAGTGACTTATCTCGGTACATGGATAACAAAACAAATTGAAGAAACTTTACAATGTCAATACATCGAAGTATGTTGATCAAATTGCTGTGTAGTTTAAAGAACTTATTGATGAAGAAATCATGCTACCTTTCCACATTACGGAGATGTGGTTCGCCTCTCGCCAGCAATTTTTGGAAAATTTTATTACTTTGCATTACCATACTTACACTGAAGGCACTTACACTGTACATGAAGAAAATATGATCAAAAAAGCATAAAACATAATCAAAATTTTTACGAAAGTGCTTTATGGGATGAAGGACGGATACGAGGTAGAGAAACAGAGTGTCCAACTGACGGAATTATAGTTCAAATTCCAGTTTCAATGCGCTCCCTGCCATTTTCTTCTCGTACATCTCATCAAATCGTTTGTTTTGTTCCTCAGTGAAGTAGTCTTTCCAGTTTCCAACTTTACCTTTACGAATGAATAGAAATGCAGGCCATTCCTCATCGCCAAATCGTTCTTGATCTCCTGACATTGCTTRAAACGTCGTTTGWTCAAAAATACGTTGAGTTATCTCTGTAGACAGATCTTTACCAACAAACCTGGCTATTTGTTGGACWGCACATGGCAAGTCCTATGGATAGAAAGATTATAAGTAAATGGCTGGGTTACTYTAAAAAAGGCTACTTGCATTCACGTTTTCAGTCAGCCAGCGGGTTGTCAGTACCTTTATCATGTCTTCGTACTTTAGTACCAGAARATTAGCATCGTCTCGATGAGACCACCACCCAAGCACGTGATCAAACCAGCTACCGTAATGAACTAGAAATATGATATATTTAGTGTATTGTTAGCTAAACTAATTAGATTTTACCTCATACACTTGGTGCAATCACTTAATATTTATTCATTCAATTTTTGACTATAAATGTCTTGCCTTTATTGTCCATGAACAGTTCAAAAAATTCATCCCAAGTTCGATCTTGAAACTCGTACATGTCTAACCCTTTGTAGTGATGATAAAAAGACACGGCAGCGTCCTTTGGGTTCCGCACCACGTAGATGTATTTTGGTTTGTTGGTATCTCTCATCGGTAGTTGATCGTAATGTAAATGAGTCTTTAAGATCCGCGGCAAAGGATGATTCAAATAGAAATCATGAAGATCTTCCTTAGTTTTGAAATCGCCCTGAAATTTGCGAAACTCAAGAAATSGTACTCTAGAATCCATGTTTCTTTTGTCTATTTTGCCTTCATTGTGAATTTCACATACCAATTCACAYACCCAAGTTGTCCCTGGAAAATTGATATGGAAGCGATTTATAATTGGATTAGCATCAGGTCTTAGCAACCATTCTATTGGTAGAAATATGACTCCACGAAATTTTTCCAACTGACAATAATATCATCGGAAATTTTTTTACTGCTACTACTGCTACTTGCTCCCCCCTCCCCCCCCCCCCCCCCCCTCCCGCTACGAATAGAGAAATTCAGAAATTTCTGAATTTTGATATATGTATTTTGTAAAGTAGTTGTTAAATATCGTCTTACATATAAAGAAATTCAGAAAAAAAGCGTACATCTGTACATATGAAATAATTCAGAAATTTTCTGAATGTATAATGTCTTRTACCACATGCAAAAGGACTACCCGGCCACACATATTTTCGGCGATCGTGGCGATCCTAGCAATTGTAACGATTATATGGAAACCAGGCTTTGGTGTCTGTACGAAACTTGCAAATGAGCGCCCGACTGTACCGAATTATTTGTTTCCTTCTTTAGTAATCGTCGGGTTGTCTCGTAACATTGATTTTACCACTGACACGGACACGCTTTGCAATTTCTTTCTTTTGAACCTCAGTTCATCAACAACAGGTCGTGTATTAAATGTTTGTTACCTGATTTGGGGAACGAAGCYATGAACACATCATSTMGACTTACAGGAAGATCTCGAATAGCATTCAGAAACTCCTCATCGATTCCAGCAAAATGAACAACTCCATTGACGCTGGATAGAGTCGAAGGGAGTCTGAAAGGAGTTCTGTTGCTCATAGCCAAAGAAAACAATCCTTACCAGTCGTGCTTTGCACGCTCGTATGGGTAGAGAGCTACTGTAACCTGAGCGATGTTTCATGTGGTTGAGAGCGAGGGTCAGCCTGCGTTACATCCGGTTTTATATGCAAATAAAACCGGATGTAACGCAAGATAGTCAGGGTAATTGTCTTTTTTTATTTATTTTTTGATATTTTAGACTAGATGTCATGGGCAAAACTCATATTGAGAACAGTTAGTATATATTTTACAAAGAAGTTAGCAATATTAGCAAATATTTGGTTGCGCAACAGACTCAATGGCCGYTCAGTTCGTTGAGAGTCCTATAATGATCGCCTCCTTGGACACTAGCTCATGAATTGTCAAACCAGCAGCACTGTAAATTAGTTTACATAGATAATCACTATCAGCTTAAGCACAAAAAAGATTTTCACTTCTGTTTTTGCTTTTCTGATTTTCAGTCGAATCTGCCACTGAAACAGTCCAAGATGCAACGCGGCAGTTGATTTTATATGTCGCATCTAGTCACATGTCAAATGTAATGCATACTCGTATCTTAGACGCACATTGACAAATAGTCTCAAGGTTCCGGTATAAAATACAACCGGTCCTTCTACATTCTTACAAACACCTCAATGATCAGTCAGTAAGATGGCCATCTATTTAGACGCACATTGATAAATAGGTCTCGAGGTTCCGGTATGAAATACAACCAGTCCTTCTACATTCTTACAAATACCTCACAATCAGTCAGTAAGATGGCCATGTTTTAGACGTTTTCCGCGGTAAGTATCTCTCATGCACAAAGTTCATTTTGAAGAATTCAGTATTTCATCAATGCTGGGGTGATGAGGAACCATAGCAAATATCATCAATATGGAGATAAACAGCGTCGCCACAAAACACAACAAAAAGAACCGATCAATGATATGCGCAGCAAGAATCCACTCAAAACGATCCGCCTCRTGCTTGTCTATTTCATCTTGATTGTCACCAAGTTTCCTCAAACCTTCAACCAAGTGATCTTGACGATGGATGATTGCTCCTAACAATGCCATGTATTTATCTCMTGATGCACAGCCTTTAGGTTGTCTGATATTGCGCTCTAACGAGTTATCCATCTGTACATCGACAGTATACACACTTTCATCGTCTCCAAAGATGGTACTCGGAGACACGAACATGCTTCCTGGATGTGATGAGCCGGCTAAAGACTTTGTAGCTGCAGTCCTTGACTCACAGATCTTACAGCTTGCAACTGAAGTCTTCCTGTTCACAAAGGCTGAAACATTGGATTCAGTACGTTGACCAAGTCGTTTACCCATTATAAAACTTCTTAGCTGGTCTGTAGAAACAGGTGAAGGTCCTGCTGTCTCGTTATTTGGGGTATTTTCTCTTGGTTTTAGMGCTGTTATACCTAAGAGTTTTCCAAGACGCTCTATGATGTAGTAACGCATCCAAAAAGGCATCTCGTTGATTTCAGGGTTAGTGTGGTAGCACATCAGTACAACACATGTAGCAACCAAAGCCAGACCAACCTGGAATTCACAGCAATGTAAAGTACACATCCGTCATTTGATTGGAAAAAAAAAAATCCAAGGTAATAGTAATGCGAGCAATGCCTCCGCCTAAATGAACAACATAAATATGTAGCTAAAGCTATTCAAGTAAATTGAAGATTGCAGAGGGCCTTTGGTTTCATGACCAGAGGCAGTCCAGAGGCAGTCCAGAGGCAGTCCAGAGGCAGTCGATGTTACGAAGGATGAATAGATCCAGCGGATACTAAATCTATGGATATGGCTATGGCCTGACTTCGGACAACCGGTGGGTCTAACTCATTTAATCCTCCATATGTGAGTTAGTGTGAGCACTTGGTACCTTGTTCATTACATCCGACATCATGCAGTTCGAGCTGAGACGATTCCGCTTAAATAAGGAAGCCTTGATGTAACTACGTCAAATACGAGCTCCAACATGGCAGCACAAATTATCGTATATTTAATGTCTAGCAAAACGTTGTTATTATCAATTAGATATATCCTTACCTCGATGATTGAACAAGTAATGAAGGCGCTGATCAAAGGCACAACCTCAGACGTRGGAGGCAGAATATCAGCAACAATCAACATAAAGACMGTCAAAGCCAGCAGGTTGGTTATAACCAAAGATATTCGCTCCCCTGACTCAGTACTCACGATGAATGACAGCAGAGACAATACTGYAAATAGAGCCATTAAACTGAGTCACAAATAGTGGAAAAAAGACACTTACATCATTCGGGTGCTTGTGATTTYTGTGATGCTATGTTGGCACCACCCCCCAAACCCTCCCACCCCTCATTCTATGTTGTGCCACCGGGAAGAGAGATGCGCGCGCCATGAAGGTCTCAACACTGACTAGGGGMAGGAAGTCTCTTGTGCGGTAAACAGAGCCGTCCATATTTGTCATTTTGTAGTAGATATAACCTCTTCACCTTCTTTACATATCTATTAGATGTCTGTAGACCCATAACAGCCTTCATTTTAACGACTCGATTAAATGATGATAATATAATTMAGTACCTGTGATCAGTAGACAGGGTACTACAAGGTTAACCCAGTAGTACATCGTCCTTCTTCMTATGTGCAGTGTACATGTAACATCAGTGAAAGGATTAGGACAACACACGTATTTTTCCACTTTTCTTTTACAAGGGAATCCAACTAGATCCCACTCRCCATTGGCTATATATCCCTTAGTATCGGCCGAGGGAAACTGGACATCAATATCTACAGATACTGCGTCATAGGTCCAGGAGCCAAACTTCAAGATYCAGGCCTACAAAGAAGTGTAAGGCAGCAGTATAAATCAAATTMACATCATTTTGGACATTTACATKAAATTTACAACGGCTTTTAAAGTACGCGATTTTTTCCAGTGATGGTGCATTGTGGTTCTAGTTTATTACAGACAACASCCTATTTGGTSTCATGAACAAAAGCTGTCTAGACCATAATAGGTAAAGTTATAAGGCCTATAGCTGGGACTTTAATTTGGATGAGTGACGATTACCTGTTGGTCAAATGGAAAGTACTTCACGTTGATTTTYCACGAGGTTATCAATATAGTGGGGGCCAGCCACGCATTGCGTCCAGTATTTMCAACGGTGATCTTTGCTTTGAATTCATCTAAAGCCCCAGTAGCACCACTATCTGCACTAAAATATCGAAAACGTATTGAATCATTTCTTCCCTAATATGAAATTATGTCTTGCGCAATTGGCCCATCGGAATTTAATCACCGGCAGAGTTGCTCTGTCTGCAGTTATCAATCATCAGGTCTTACTATATTATATTGTCATTAATGAATCATTCTTACTTGTTGTAAAGATATATGTCTGGCTTCCATAATTCAGACGGATCCAGGTTAACTTGTGTGATATTTCCATATTCACTTACATTCCAAGACAGCAATGGATTCTCCCAAATCTAGAACYTGTCATTCAAAGATCATGGATAAACATGAAAGAAAGATAGAAAAATGGAACCACTTACCTGTCTGATGTAAAGACTTAGCTTCAGAATCTCATATTTCTCAATCTGTGAAAAGAGACGATCTYTTAAAAACTGTCATGTTAATTAACAAGTCTAAGACTAATTACATAGCCTACCACATCAATAATCTGGTTCAGTGTTAGACCCAACTTGACTGTCACATTATGTTCTTTCTTGATAACTGGGCGTAGRTTCTTGTTATAGCCACCAAGTATGTCACGAAGAAGTCTAGCTTCGTCATAATCGAATCCTTTACACATAGAAATAAACTGATTTACGATGATCTAAAATGGTCACGGAGAGGATCACGACCAAAACGATGGCCAGTTATCCCGACGCATGACAAGTTACTAAGCAAATTAACATTGCTGGTATGATATATAACACTATACAGGCGGTAAGTACTTAGGATTAACACGAATATGTGCGAAACAATGTAAGAGTAGTAATACGTAGCATCGATCAAGTACTGGGAGAAAGAACAGCTTTAACTAAGAAAGAACGAAGATTACGATCACGCTTTGTATTAGAAAAAGGGCGTGGTCATTAAAGAGAATGGAAGTGTTAGATTCAGATGCGAGTAAAAATTATTACGGTTAACAATGTGCTGTCATTGTGATGATAGTCCGATTAAAGGGACACGATGCACCAGCATTCAATGTGGTCGTGTTTTAGATTTTTCATATATGGAAAATGAGGTGACTTCGAACTCAATGTTATGTGACATCTCTTTTGGCTTTCTTAACTTCACCTAGTTTTCTCCAAGAACACCTATAATATCYTCCTAATAATGGCTTATGTCGCCWAGCTCATAATACAATGTATTCAGTTTGTTTTCAAACATGAGAAAATGCTCAAAATGGATGCTGGTGGAACATCATGTCCCTTTAAAGTAAAAGTCTTACGACTGTTMAGGTAGGATAATTAGGTGTGACAGCGATCACTTTACTCAGAGATTGATCGATAACATGAGAAGCATATACTTTAGTGAAGAATAAAAGTAAAATGAAACTGTATGTATTTTTGAACTAATTTCCGAAACGTTTTCTTGTATTATAGTGTTTTACGGTGTCAAGTATATCTTATTTTTAACAATTCTTTCTCATAGAAAAACGGACGCAGCTCACATTAGTCAACTGCTAATTCCAATCATTTATTGGCCGTGTCACAGTGATCAACGCTKATCTCGTGAAGATTCAATAATATCGTATTCACAGTGTTATTTTCCCTTTTTGTTTGCCCTAGCTTATATCGTCGTACAATGGAAAACAATGCATGCGGGTTTTAAAACAAATTGGTAAGATAAAATATTCGTTTGGGATAAGGATAAAGGTGGATTATCTTCCTAATGCCCACGTATGTAAATATTTATAGTCTAAATTAGAAYAAGAACGTACCTGTTAAATTCTCTCTCGAAAAAACACTTCCACATAAAATACTCACACAAACACAAGAACTGTAAAATACCACTAGGCCATTCATTGTTGAATCTCTGCAGGTTTCAACAGATTATACAAATTAGGATTTTAAACTGCGTCAATATATCAAAAAAATGCACAAAAAACCTAAATGTGACCTGTAAGTAAAAGTTCCCGTTGAGCGTCCTCGTGRACGCTGCTTACATAACCGTGATTCGTGATAGCATGTTTTTGATTAGGAAGTGTCTTTTTACTGGTATGCCCTAAACTATAAAGTCGTTTTACACAGTTATCATCGGCTTGTATATCGACAGATATTGATTGATAGCTGAATTGCCCTTTCTTAATATTGACTTTTTAATTTGTCCTATCTTCAGTCAAATAACAAATATTGCGTCTGAACCATTGTACATTTAGAAAATCTGGTTTGGAGAGCAGAAAAAACGTGTACAAATAAAACTCATGACTCATGAAAACTGCTGTTCACTTGTTTCAGCTACGACGAGATTCGGCGCATTCAGCTTGGCGTAAAAAAGAATCACGTCAAAGTATATAATGAGGAAAGTGTAAGTTGAATATAGAACCAGTTAGGATCTCATAATTAAAGGTGTAGTTCTCAATGCGTTTGAATTTTGTATAATCTAAAGCCTTTTACATACCTGCTGCAGCCCAGGTCAGTACGAACAGTCGAACAATTCTAATTCTGTTATAATTTATCGAATGATCGTTTCTATCCCATATATAACTATTTTTCAATGTAGACTGCGACCTTATAGAGAAGACTCAGGACAATGTACAAGATCACGTGACAGGTGCTCCTAGCGAGACAATCACAGGAAGAAATTCTGTTCTTGTTTTTACTGTATCAAATTCAAAAGATACTAACTAAACTGATGGCATTTATTCAATTAACTAAATGCAAATCATTTATATTGGAAATTCTATGAAAAAAATCACATTGCTATTGCAAAATAAGCTGATGTTTTTCGTTAGTTTTCGGCGAAGGCATAAAGGTTTTACCGTGGGCTATAGAGTCTGGTCATCCGTTAGTGTTTTTGTTCTTTCTTGGATTAAATCTCACAGCGAAATTATAATCATACTAACCATCAAGGTCTGCTGCAAGATGTGCAAATATGCATAGTATCTGACAGCTGTCAGTCAATTTTGATCGATTCATTCGGATTTATGTAAAACAATGTTATCAACATTAATGAAATAACTGACATTGATCAAATATATATTATCATTAAAAATAATGCTCTTAAATAATCTTTTACTTCACTATGTTTTTATTCTAATGGACTGTAATTCCACGTCCAAACAAATAAATCAAAAAATTTGTGGGAAGCATACATCAAGTTGGGTGCCCTGTGTCATGTCTACTGCTCGCAATGGTTGACGGGTGAAAGGTTGTCGGCAGCCATCTTGGAGCATTACACGAGGCCGGAGAGGAAGAGGAAAATTTGGTTATTGAACCTGTTGCTGAGGGGGATAAACAGCTATGCCCACCTCACAACCTCTGCCACCCAAGGAAAATGCTCTTTTTAAGAAGATTTTGGTGAGAATTTTTTGTAAACTGATGTGGCTAGGCTGAATGTGGCCGGTAACATGCTGGACAGGCCTTCTCCTCTGTATGGTTTACGGAATGTTGTATTTTATTCATCCCTGGTTTTCGTTGTCATTSACAGAGATGCTACGAGCAAAAACAGTACAAAAATGGCCTAAAACATGCCAAGCAGATTCTAACGAATCCCAAATATGCAGATCARGGAGGTAAATGCAGAACTTACTTTAGTTCAGCCTATTTTTTAATCTGACGTATTTGAACATTTGTGGATTTGTCATGAAATGTGTGCGTACATAGCCAGCACCGGTGTAGATTGTGTGCATTCCTTTGATTTTTAAAAGTGTTCATTTTTGGTTTMGTTTTGTCGTATTTAGAAACTCTTGCCATGAAAGGGTTGACTTTAAACTGTCTTGGTCGTAAAGATGAGGCATATGATCATGTACGAAAGGGCTTGAAAAGTGATCTCAAAAGCCATGTTTGTATCCTTTGATAATATACAATTAGCACTTTTATATCATGTTTGTGATGTGCCTGTAGATACACGTGAACAACAGTTTCCAGTAACCATATGGAAATGTTTATATAGTTGTATCAAAATTGCTTATGCACTGGCATTATCAGTATTTTTGTGTTTGTTAATTGACAGTCTTTTCACATCGTTCAGATCAAAAAGCATGCACAATGCAAAATAATAGGATATCTGTAGGCTACAGACTTTTGTCACTATCGCATACTCTCAAAATGATTGGTGACAGGGGTGATTATTGCTCTAAACAGTATTTCCTGCCCCTACTGATTAGGCAGAATGTCAAGAAGAATTTTAAATTGCTGAATTTATAGCTATCAGTTTAATGATTTGCCAGGAATTCTTTCAATATCAATTATATTCCTTCACAATGGTACTAGGCTGGCATGTGTATGGCTTACTTCAGCGTTCTGATAGGAAATATGARGAGGCAATCAAATGTTATAGAAATGCACTCAAGTGGGAAAAGGTATTTTCATTTGTATTGATATGTTTTGTACATTATCATTCATACATGTTTTAAGAGAATGGATTAATTTACATTTTTCCACTTCTGCATCTGTTACATTTTTCACATTGTACATTTATTGTATTTGAGAACCAGCAAAGACATTTCTTGAAGTTGTTCTTGTGTTGTTGTGACACATTTTTTTCTGCAGACTAGATTCACTTACTGTACTTATTATCATATTATTATAGTTATTTGATTCTGTTTTTTACTCTTAGGAAAACATTCAAATTCTAAGGGACTTATCTCTGTTGCAAATTCAAATGAGAGATCTTGATGGCTATCGAGTAAGTGCTACGTTAATTGATTTATTACTAGACAGGAGTTTTTGTAAGAAATGCTTTACAAATAACTCCTTGTCAGGCATGATAGCATTGCCATTAATTTTGTTCTGTAGGAGACAAGGTACCAACTTCTAGTACTGCGTCCAGGCCAGAGAGCCTCCTGGATTGGATATGCTATATCATATCACCTGTTAAAAGACTATGACATGGCTTTTAAGATCCTGGAAGAGTACAGGAAAACTTTAAATGTGAGTATTGAGTGCCTGATTGATTTGCCAATAGTTTTGGATATTTTTGGTTAAATCATTTTATTATTTTTTTAAATTATTATTTATTATTTTACAGATGTCACCCTCAAAAGTAGACATTGAACACAGTGAACTTCTTCTTTACCAAAACATGGTGCTAAGAGAATCTGGACAGTTGAATGAAGCTTTAAAATATTTAGAAGAATATGACCAACTTATATGCGATAAGTTGTCTCTTAAAGAGATAAAAGGTATGTGATTCAGCATTGATATGTTAGTATGTATTTGTGTCTTAAGTAAACAAATGTTACTTGATTCAGAAGAAATATCGTGATGATAATAACATCATACCCTGCAGAATTGAGTGAATAACTACCTTTTTTTCCTAAGTGTGCAACATCCATCTTTCATTGTTTTTGTCAGAGGAAAATGATTGAGTGAAAAATTATGTGAATCTTCAGGTGAATTGTTGATGAAGCTAGGAGACTTAACCCAAGCTGAAGGGATTTATAGAGATTTGATCAAAAGAAATCCAGAAAATCATCAATACTACAAACAACTGGAAATGGTTCTCAAGTTAGGTAGGATTATTATGAAACCTGAGTTGTAGCACAGTTACAACTTAACTTGTTTATTCTGATTAAATGGATTGTAGAATGGATCATAGTCTGCATTTTTGCATCTCTGTCTAATGAATAATACTTTCAGTGATCTACACTATGCCACTAAGCTGTTGAAACATCCTAATTCATGTACATTCATGTGTAAATATTTTATTGTTTTTTGTTCGTAGACAACCCAGATGATAGACTTAATATGTATGTTGGATATGCAGCACTATATCCTAAAGCAACCACCCCAAAAAGACTACCACTTAACTTTACTGAAGGTACAGCAACTCACTTTAAATTGTGATCTAATTTATTGATGAAGTATGATAATTGTTGTTGTATTTGTAGGTGAAACATTTGCTAATTTGCTTGATGTTTACATGAAACGAGCACTACATAAAGGTGTTCCCCCACTTTTTAATGACCTCAGAGCRTTGTATTCACAAAAAGACAAAGTAAGTAGCTTCATATCACTATTAAAAATTGCAATTCAAGAGTTTAATTTACTATTAATAAATGGCTTTATATTGTAGGCAAGAATTATTGGTGAAACAGCTTATACGTACCTTGAAAATCTTGAGAAATGTGGATCATTTACTGAAGGTAAAATCTTTCATTTCAGACATTTATGTTTTCATCAAGRTATCAATAAGTAGCAGTGCAAAGTTTAAATTCTGTTTTCTATGAATATAACTGATGATGTTYRTTCAGGTGGAGAGAAAGAGCCACCAACGGCTAAGCTCTGGACTTTGTACTTTCTTGCTCAGCACTATGATCACTTAGGAAACACAACCAAAGCTATGGAATACATAGATATTGCAATTGAACATACACCAACCCTTATAGAATTATACATGGTTAAAGGCAGAATATACAAGGTATGTGTACTTATTTATAGGAATTGTGACTTGCTAAGAATGTACTTGATATTGTTTATCAGTATCCATTTACTCCTATGGTCTTCCTGTGTAATGGAGGTGTGCACAGGGATCCCAAGAACAAAGATTAATACAGTGGTAACTGAGGATGTGGCTGATTTTGATGATTAATGTTGCAATTCCCATTATTTTTGTAGCATGCAGGTGATATAGCCAAGGCTGCAGAATTCATGGATGAGGCACGTTCATTAGACACAGCAGATCGATATGTGAATTGTAAATGTGCCAAATACCAACTTCAAGCAAACCAAGTGCAGAGGGCTGAGGACACTTGTGCTATGTTTACAAGGGTAAATACTTTTCCTTATCAGTCATACTGTAAATGAGAAATAACAGAATGTATTCACACATGTATGCTTGCAGGATGGATTTCAAGCTGCTGAGAATCTCAATGAAATGCAATGTATGTGGTACCAGACAGAGTGTGGCTATGCTTATCAAAGGCTGGGCAAGTARGGAGAAGCTCTCAAAAAAGCTCATGAAATAGAAAAACATTTTGAAGAGATCACTGAAGACCAGTTTGACTTCCATACCTACTGTATGAGAAAGATGACACTTTGTTCTTATGTCAAGTAAGAAATCTTTTGTTATTTTGTACTATAATCATCAACAAGTGAATCAATCAATCATTCAATCAACCTAGGAGCTAAGCGATCAGTAAGCCATTATCAATCAGTCAGTTATTCAATCAAATTCTCAATAACATTCAGTCATATCTCTTTTCTTGTAGGTTATTGAGACTTGAGGATGTTTTGAGAAGTCATAAATTTTATTTCAAAGCGGCCAAAATGGCTATTGAGGTATGGAGTTGTCCACATTACCTTTGTAATAATACAGAGTGTCATGCTGGTGATCATTTTTCTTTCTTACTTATCATGATAGCAATGATTTGCTTATTTGTCATATCACAAAGAGTACAGTTCCTATGTATTTTAGCTTGCAATATCAGATTTTCCACCAAAAAAGTGAAAATAATGGATATGTTGGATGTTGTCTTTCAGTGTTACCTACGGTTACATGATAAACCTTTGACTGAAAGRGACCAAGATGATAACTTAAGCAACAGCAACCTGTCAGCTAAAGAACTCAAGAAACTGAAAAGCAAACAAAGAAGAGCTGAAAAGAAGGCACAAAGACAGGACAACACCAAAGGTACAATGCATCCTTCATTTCTAAGGCAGATGTGTTGCAGAAAACAACTTTAAAGGCCCACATGTATCCAAGAACCTTTGTACGATTTCCCCAAATTACAAAACCTCCTTCTTTCTTTCTCAGAAAGTATTTCTCAATAATGGTTCATTTGTGAAACAAAGTAAATAATCGCAAAGGATGATTCAAACATTGAATAATTGTTGCACTAAAAAGTCATTGTGGCACAGTGGCACTAAATTACAACATGGAATACACCGCATTTCTCTTAAATACCTGTTTTCTTAATAGTTTTCCTTTGAACTTACTTTGAATTGACTTTTGCAGTTTGAATCTTCTTTCGGGTATCACATGGAGTGTCTTTCAGGTCGCGTTAGTAGGCAATTTGATGTTAAAAGTGTTTTGATTTACATTGTAGCAAATGAAGTTAAAGACAACAAAGATGGAGAGAAGAAAAGTGAGGGAGCTAAGGAATCAAGCCTGGATCCAGATGCCTTAGCAAGAGTGAGCATAAAATCCATTGTGTAACATTCATTCATGAATCCTTCCACTCTGATAGCAATTTAATATGGAATATCCTTCTACTCTGATCTTGCCAAGCTTCTTGTAATTGTAAATAYTAAAAAGACATTTTTTTACATTGTTTTTGTAGGTAACCGATCCCCTGGACCAAGCTTTAAGGTTTTTAAAGCCTCTTCAAAGTTTGGCTGCAAATCTCATTGAGACTCATTTGATGGCATATGAAGTGTATTCCAGAAAAGGTTCGTACAACAACAAAACATGATGCATCGTTTGTATAAAGAATTTCTGCTTCTTTTATGGAAATAACCTATTATGAATATTAATAATATTGATATTGCGGTTATCCCAACAGGCAAGCTTTTACTGATGCTGCAGTCTATAAAGAGAGCCCTGCGTATAGACCCTGATAATCCTAAATTACATGAATGTATAGTCAAGTTTTCTAGGAAAGGTAAGATAAGCAGGAATAGATATGATGTTGTCCCATACTCAGAACAACAGGATTATTCCTATGAGATCCATATGAAATTCATGGGTTGCATAACCTTATCCACCCATCGTTGTATCATTTACTAAAGTTCATCTTGATCTTACATAACTTGGACTTCAGTTACAGACACAAGAGATGTRAAAGAGCCCGTTGCTAAGGTGATAAAGCAGGAACTCAGCTCTGTTGTTGGAGAGCAAAGCATCACCGAATTCAACAGTAAATTCATTGAAAGGGGAACCAATTCGATTTTGAAAAGATTAGCAGGTACATTGACACTGGATTCACGTTATTACTAAAGTTAGAATGAAGTAATGACTGAYTGGCGGTTTGTTTTGTAGGTGGTAAGATGATGTACTTTTTGGATTCAAGTCGAAAAGATGAAGCTCTTGGTTTAGTAACGGATTTATCTGAAAACCTCGYGGATAGAAGTTTAAAGGTATCATTGACTTTCACTTCAAAAATAAAGAACATTTATCTGAATAATTAAATCCTTTTCAGAATTGCACCCTAGTTTTCAACACCATAGTAGAAGAAGAATTTGGAAAATGTGAAGCTGTGGCTCAGAAATATCGCTGCAGCTGCCACCAGTTATTCAATCTAGCAACCACGTTTATTGGTGAAGAACCAAAACTTAACGGCCTTGAAAAACAGGATGAACCTATGTGCGATGGAGTGGCATAAATGTGTGTGATTCYATTCAATCAAAATAACGACTATGCAACCGTTGAACCTGGGAAACTGATAGTTTTCAAGAGACTGAACACGACTATCCTCCAACAAAGTTGCATCTTCAGAACGGTACCAGTGAAACAATTTTAGTGGAGAAGTTCTGTGGTGTTTTTCCCGGAAAATTGAAGACCACAATTATCATGTTTGTCAGTGGACTTTTCACAGGTTTCATTTGAAGTCATTGATTCCAATCAAACAGCAATAGAGAAAGGGACTATTGTCGACTCATTTTATTTGCACAAACATTCGTCTTTGCTTTTGGTAGCCACCTGATTAGTGATGGTCTTTTGAAATGGTCTTAAGTTGTTATCTATAAAAACAATAATCGCAAATGTCACTGTTATAAATATTGAAGTACTGGGAAACAAAGGATGCTTGTTGTATGAAATACGTTATAAGATAGTTACATTTCATATGAATTCTGCATAAAACTCGAACGCGCTGTTCATCCTTGTCAATAATGTTCCAAACTATGAATGGTACCAAAGCCAAAATTTAGTCATATTTTTGATGTTTATATTAAAAAAAATCAGGTGAAATCTTGGACTTCGTAAAGTAACGACAAGCATCCTCTCTTTTCTCAACATCGTGTCAAGGTACAAATATTTTATCTCAAATAAATCAAATCAGATTCTTTCTCGCAATAAAAATTCAAGGCCATCTTAACAAACTCGTAATAAATGAGATTTGTGCTCTGCAAGCACTGCTTTWATATTGTCTTGATGGAAATTCGGATAAGTGAGTCAAGCAAAAGATACTACACATGAGTGGCTTATAAATCAAGAATTTACATTCACAGGCTTGTTTTTGATAGGACTTCAATGTTGGTTTAAAGAACATCTTTTTTGCTTGAAAGGAACCCAATGCAATTTACCTCCCCGACCTCCTCCATACAAATACTTCTCCAAACACATCACGTTGATTTTATAGTATTTATTGGTGTTTTTTTTTTCATACAAACATTTCAGAGCATGCAACTTGCTTTTCAAGTGGGGTGTAGATCACCGCGTGCAAAATTATATTATTTAAAATGCATTTCAAAAGATGAACGACGGGGATTTTTGTGACTATAATTTTATCCTAAAATCTTCCGTTACACTTGCCCATAAAAAGTACCAGGGATCGTCAGACCTCGACGCTTATTTACAAAATAACCAAACGTGCTAATCACAAAAATTATTTACAAGACACTTCTTTATTGCACTCGAGAGATTTGAATTCCSGCCGGCCGAGAATGAAAACTAAATATGACTCTCACTCTCTGCTCAGCCCTCCTCAGTCCCCTTAGKCGCTACGCAGGCTATCGTCGTGCAATACTTTCTGTTCTATTTCCACCAATATCGTATAGCAAGACTGTGTTCATAATGTTTTATAATAAGGGTTTATCAGGCTATTAACAGGAAGCCATATATGTAATCGTCCTCGATTTAAACCAAAGTAATATCCTTCGAGCCCTACTGCACGTCCTTAATTTGCTTTCAACATTTAAAAATTCACTATCATASACATAACAGCCTAGCCTACTTCTTATTGGCTGTGCGAAGTGGCTTTCTATTGGATTTACGCAAATATTCCTTCTTTTTGGTCTCTTTAACCACTTCCTTGTCCTTTTCAAATAAGAGTCTTGTTGAGGCTGTTGATCGGTTAATTGTACGCTGSCGTTTGGGCTTCAGCTCACTGGCTACCTTTTTGTTTTTAGGTGGCGAATTTTCAATAGTAAATGCCATACTTTSGGAAAGCTTTTGTGCTTTCGAATCATTCTCTTTAGATATTTTGGACTCTGCTTTTTGTAACGTGCCAGCCTTTGATGAAGATTTGGTTTTCTTTGTTGGTGGTGTGATGTCGATGCTGAAGGCAACATTACCCGCTGCAGCTTGTTTCTCTGTTTCTTTGGAAACATTTTCCTTTGATCTAGAACGCAAAGCATTTATTTTTGAAGCCACGGTTTCCGTCAATTTTTTCGACTTGCTTCGTTTTAGGGAACTTTCTGACTTCGAGGTTTGTTGGTCTTTACGCAGTTTAGACGCAGWCCCCTCGYTTGMCATGGATTCGTCTGATTTTCTTTTCAGTCTTGTCCGGTAGCCAGACTCGGAGATGCTACTCACCAGTTTCTTGTTTTCCTCTGGACAGGTTTGGGTTTCAATAGGATAGGATGTTTTCATGTGAGGTTTACAAATTGTGTTGCGTCTTTCTAGCTCTGCAAGTCTATCGGAATCCGTAGCCTTTTCCTCCGCCAATTCTCCCAGTTTATCCCAATTATACTCATACGGTTCGTCTTCCATGTTTTTTGCAAACTCATCTCCCACCATGAAGTAAGCTGCGCTTGCCGTAGTTCGCTTCTCTGGAGGTGTTCTTCCTTTGAGGTAGATTGCACTCTGTCGACGATTTGCAGCTGWACGCCCGCCAAAAGTGCTTCTCAAGCTTGACCTGGAAAAACTGTTCAATGAAGTAGATGATTTGGCTAGGTCAGAGCCAACAGAGGAAAGAGATGATAAACTGCTTCCTCCTGCAAGTTCTTCTATCTTCAGTAGCGGTTCGTCATCTGTGGAAGAGTCATCGTCTAAAAGTTGATGGACATTCTCAACTGGAATAACAAATTGTCTTCTTGGCTTTTTGGCATCAGTAGTTTGGAGTTTTTCCATGGATTGTTTCTGTTCTCTTAGTTGCCTATCAGCAAGGTTGACTTGGGCTGTCAGGGAGTTAACTTGCGTGCAAAGACGACGATTTGTTGCCTTCTCTTCTTGCAGTATTTCTTCAAGTTCTGTATTATCTTGCTCTAACTTTTCCATTTGTTCAGCAATTGTCTTCCGCTCTTCTTCATCCCTCACAACAGCTTGTTCCTTTTCTTGAAGAATCTTACATTCGTCTTCGAGTTCGGACACCACTTTAGTCAGCTGGTTCTCTTTTTCGTTCCAGGTTTCTTGTGCCTTTTCGAGTTCTGAGATTGCTTTGTCTCTTTCCTCGGTCATGGCTTCCAATGAAGTCTCTAGATCTTTCAATGGACCAYTGGTTTCTTCCAATTTCTTTTGAAGATCTGTTATTTGTTTTTGTAGGMCACTTTGTTCTTCTTCAACCCTTGATTTGTWTTGTTCTYCTTCTTCGTCTTTCTGRTTCTTTAATTCTTCGATTTCTTTCTTTAACTGCTCGATTTCCCTAASGCGTTCCTCTTGACTGTTAMAATGCTCGTCGAGCTGTTTCTGGAAWTGTTCTTGWGATGTCTCTCTCTCTTTCTGAAACTCGTTAGTTWGGTGTTCGATTTMMTCTTTGTATCCTTTAATTTCTTGCTGTAGTTCAGATGACTCTTTAGACTTTTCACGAATCTGTTCTTCAAATTGTTCTTTGATAGCATTTTTCTCTGCTTCGAGATCAACTTTCAGTTTTTCCAACTCTTCACGATTAGAGAGCTCCTTATCTTTCAACTCCTGACACTTTTCGTMTAATTCTTTATCTTTAAGGTCCAACGTCTGAGCAAGTTCGTGTTCTTTGCTTTCTGAGTGTTGCAGCTGATCTTTTACATCATTCAACATCTTGTCTTTCGTTTCCATTGTTTTAGCGACTTCGCGTGCCTCGTTTTCTGTTTGTTGAAGTTTTTCCTTGAGTTCGTTGTTAGCCACTCTTTCGTTGGCAAGATTTGCAATAAAAGCTCGTATTTCTTCACGAAGTTTTCTCTCTTCGGTTGCAGCTTTGTCTTCTTTCTCCTGGACAACACGTCTAAGATCCATCATCTCTGCTGAGTGTTTCTGTGCATTTTCAAACATTTCACTTCTTATGGCCATGTTTTCCTCTGATGCAGCGTCCAGTTTCTTCTTCCAATTTTGACGGTCTGTCTCAAACGCTTTTTCTAATTCGCTATTCMTTTTTGAGGCATCAWCAAATATCTTCTTCTGCTTCTCCTTGGACTGTTCTTTTACTTTTTCGACSTCAGCTTCCAGTGTTTTTACTTTGGACTTTTCGGTAACGATGTTCTGTTCTAGTTCTCCGATTCTGGTCTTAAAATCTTCAATGCTATCCGCTGCAACCTACAATGAGGAAAACGTTCTCAAAAACTCGAAATATAATACGTTACGAAAAAGTATCTGTTCTTGTATTCAATAAACAATTCATATTCTTACCTTAAGCCCATGACAAGCTTTATCCAATTGATCTTTTAAATCTCTTTTCTCCCTTTTATGATTTTGTCTTTCCTCTTGTGAATTGTTCACCATCTCTTGAACAGCCCTGGTGTGCTCTGCTTTCATCTGTTCTCTCTGGAACGATAGCGCCTCTATTTTCTCATTGGACTGTTTCGTTTCTTCCGCTAATGCRTTTTCAAGTTCATTCCGCTCCCGCGTCATTTCCAGCAGGCGTTTTTCTGTAGCATTTGTATCTTGTTTTTGTTTGGTAAAGCTTTCTGTCAAATSTTCAAGGCTCTTGTTTCTATCAGCTATTTCTCGTTTCGAGACTTCATCTTTCCTTGATATTTCTTCATTGAGATGCTTCAACACTTCTTCATGTTGAGATTTGAGTTGAGCGATTTCTTGCTGGGCTTTTTCATCCTTTTCTTTCATTTCTTCATTCATGTTTTTGATTACATTTTTGTTCTCMTTATCCAGTTCAGCAATACGTTCCACGTAATGTTCGTCCTTCTTTTTGAAGTCTATGTGCAGACTCTTTATTTCTTCGTCATGTTTCGTTCTTAGCATATTAATTTCTTCCTTTGAAGTAGCTCCCAGCTTCGCCATTTCTTCATCAAGTTTCTTTAAATTCTCCTCGTTTTGAAGCTTCAATTTCGAAATTTCTTTTTCAAAATCATTTTGCTTTTCTACCAACTRTTCTTGGATTTTCTTAATTTGCTGTTCCTTCTCTGATTTKACTTGTGCAAGTTCCTCCTCCATTTGTTCAATACAATTTACTTTCTCTTCGATCAACTTCTTCATGCCCTCCTTTTCTCTACTCAGCTCATCAACTTGTTCCATGCTTCTCTCGYCTGTCTTGGATAACTCGTCGTTGATAGTTTGTGCTTTGGACATARTTTCTTMATTATTTTTCTCTATTTTCTCAATGATAGACTCAAGTTCAGTGGCATGATTTAATTCCAAAGACGACAAAGCGAGAGTATGTTCTTCTAGCATCATGTTTTCCTTTTCCTTGGCATCTACCATCGCAGTTTCCAGCAGACTTTTTTCCTGTAATATTTTTTCTGCTGATTCTTTTACAGTCAAGATRTCGTRGTTCAACGTTGCTTTTTCATCTTTTAGTTTRYCCTCTTCTGCTTTGAGTGTTTCAATCTCCTTCTTSAACARGAGTTCATTTTCTTGCCAAACTTTCTCGGCTTTGCTGCGACGTTCAATTTCTTTGTTCATTTCTGAATATTCTTTAGTTAACTTGTTGACATTTTCTTTTGCTTTTTCCAAGTCTTCGATGAGGTGAAGTTTCTCCTGCTCAAGTTGATTTACTCTGTTCTCCATGGACTCACAAGTCTGCTGCAACGTTTGTGACAACTCTTTATTTGTCTGGATTTCGTTTTCTGAAGAAAAAAAAAGCATAAATCGAAATTAGAATTTTCACAGTCTGGCTTTTGCTATAAAACAACCTAAAAAGGAATTTAAAAATATTCATCTCACAAACAATTGAAGGAAATATTTTTCGATTTAGAGAAGAAGGTAGAATACCAATGACTGGTCAGCTTTCCAATACCTTTGCCAGTCATTAGAAATTTACCTAGTTCATTCTTTATTTCAGCTAGCATGTTTTCATAGACATCTCTGACTTCAACTGTATCCCTTTCAGCTTTTTGGACAAGCATTTTGAGCTCTTCCTCTTTGGTTGTGAATTGAGTCTTTAAGTTTTCTCTATCTTTACACATCTCTTGTATCTTGAGTTGCATTTCTTCTCGGTCTTTCATATGAATCGATTGCAATTCCTCAGTGATATTTCTGAAATACGGAATAAACAAAATTTTGAAACGAAAAGGAGTAGATATATTTTCAGAAAGACAAAACTAATATAAAACCAACCTTAATTTTGC